CACCAGGCAATGTAAAATAAGAGAGTTTAAATCCAATAACAATAACATTTATTCCACCTTCTGATTGCAAATCAATCTAATCTTTTATTACAAGTTCTGACTCAAGGTAGTGCAACTATTGATATTCCTTGCCCTAAAGATATTGTCATTTCCCATCTTCAATGTCTTTTTAAGTTACACACTGGATATTGGGGACCTATACTACCTGGAACAATTGATTTTTATTGGTTCTCAGTAGGTTATACATGAAAAGAATTGTTCATACAGGAGTCATTATTGAAGATTATATAGGAAAAACAGCAGTCATGGTTACTGTGCCCACTGATTAGCAATTTAAAATGGGAGACAAAATATCATTTTTGATTTATGTAGCCACTTCACAAAAAAAATTGTGCTTCATGAGGAATTTGTTAGTACAGATAAAGCTGCAGCTTTAAGTACTTTATTAAAGGAATATAATGAACCAATTTTGGATTTTAAATAAGAGGAAAAATTTTTACAGGATTAAGTGATTGTGGAGCTTATGTCTCTATTATAACAATGGAAGAATGACTCTCCAAATGGCCTGCTATGAAAGTAAATTCAACCCTAATAAGGTTGGTAACTGTGAGATCTAGCAAAATAAAGTGCTACAAAATTATAATGCATAGGTGTAGGAAGGGAAAATGGCAGTCCTACAGCTGCACGCTACCAGTGTTCCAATAAATCTTTGGGGAAGAGAATTTCTACAACAAATTAAGGCAGAGATCAATATCCCCACCTCTAATGCAACCTATTCTTCAAAAATACATTGACTAATGAGAAGAATGGGATATCAAAAAAGGAAAGTATTAGGGAAAAAGTTGAAAGATATTATTGAAACTAAATTCCCACAAGGACCAAACCATAAACATGAATTTGGATTTTCATAGGAGCCACTGAAAAAAATTTCACCTTTAAAAATTACCTAGGAATCAGTGAGACTGTCTGGATACCTCAATGGCCCTTTTTAAAAAAAAGTTAAAGACTCTTCACCAGTCTTTCAGTGAGAAGTTGGAGAAAGGACATAAATAACTCTCTTTTTTCATCCTGGAATTCTCTTGATTTTTGGAATTAAAAAGGAATCTGGTAAATGGAGATTGTTGATTGACTTACAGAATGTTAATGCCACCATGTGGCCAATGGGAGGTTTACAGTATGGTTTAGCTATGTTCACAAGTATTCCTAATGTTTAGACTTCAATAGTTTGAGATTAAAAAGATTACTTTTGCACTATTCATTTTCATCCTAGTGATGTTACATTTTACCTTTTCTTTTCCCTCAACAAATCATAAAGAACATCAGCAGTGATGTTAATGGACCATATTAGTTTAAGGCATGAAAACTCTCCTACTTTGTGTCAATACTATGGATGAAAAGTTTTAGAGTCTTTGAGATCGGCCTTTTCTACTTCACATATAGTAGGCTCCTGTTATTCATTATATGGATGATATCCTGCTAGCCACTTCTAAAAGAGCTACAATCCAAATATTATATGACTCAGGATATTCTATATAAAACGGGGCTTACTATTGCACCTGAAAAGGGTACAAAAATCAGATGTTGTACAATATTTGAGACAACTAGTGGGTAGAGCAGCTTTTAACACACACACACACACACAATCACACACTCATGCTTGCACATATGCATGCAGGCACATGGTAAATATTAAACTCCAGTAAACAAGATAAGGTAAAAACACTTAACAACTTTCAGAAGTTCTAGGGAATATTAATTGGCTATGTTCTACTTTAGGAATACCTAGTTATGCCTTATCCAACAAATTTAAAACTCTAGAAGGAAAGACACTGTCAAATGATTCCATAATAAAGGAGTCATTTGTGTAGTATATGAATCTTTCCATTCCTTTACAATTACTTATTTGCCCCACAAAATTTTCTCCTATTGGCGTTAGACCACACTAGCAAAAAACAAAACAAAACAAAAAAACACTGGAATGAACTTATTTACACTATAAGGGCCATAAAATAATAAAATACTAAGTGGTTAACTTATTATTGTTTAATTAGTAAATCTTGGGGAGACCTGATGTCACCAATTATAGAAATTAGATTCTTTCTCTATTGACTTTAATTAACTACAGTGTTTTTGAGCATTACAAAACACTATGGATTTTCAAATTTCATTTTCAGATTACGATGTAGGGATAGGGAATCATCATCCATTTGATAAATTATGGGATTTTCTGGTATGAAGTAAATTAGTGATTACAAAAATTACCTAACCTTCTCACATTTCACAGGTAATACTTATTTTGTTAATAGCTCATCTATGTGTGTAAGAGAGATTCATGACCTAGATAACCATCAGTTTATGAAGACTTCTTTTTTCTCAGTCCAGTAGTTGGAACTAGCTGCTTTGATTCATCTATTATGGTTAATTCATAAACCCTTAAATATTGTTTTAGATGCTGCTTGTGTTGTAGGATTAATTATAGCAATAGAACACACTTTAATTTTGGTTTTCCATTCTATTATACTCCCATTTCTACAGGAACTACAACATGTATCTAATATTTACATATGTCCTTTGTTTATTATTCATATTGTGCATATCTAACCTCCCTTGTTTTATTGTAGAAATAAATAATACAGATGATCCATTATCCTACCTTATTTTTACTACTCTAGAGTAGGAACACCAGCACATATACACAAATGCTAATAGACTTCATGTGTAAAGTCATATCCCAGTTGGACAAGAGAGATAAGTTGTGCGGGAACGTCCATTTGTGCTTCCATACAGTGTCATAGTCATATAGATGGATTTAATCCCATAGATAAAAATACTAACAAATTATGACAAGTGGTGTTAGCGACTTTTGTTTTCTGCCTCAGATGCCATACCTGAATGTTTGCATTGACACATATTCTAAATTTCATTCATTTATTCATCCATCCATCCATCCTTCCATTCATTCATTCATAGAGTGCTTTTGCAATTCTCTTATACTAACTTTTGCTCTTACATGAGTGTGTATGTCTATAAAAATGGACAATGAACCAGCCTACTGTAGGAAAACATTTAAAACTTCTCTAAAGAATGGAATAATAATCATATTACAGGCATTATATAAAAGCACATAGAACATTTAAACAGCAACTACTGAAAAATAAAAATCGGGGAGCACCAAGGGATCTTTTTGCACTTTCCTTATTTACTTTTTTCCCAACTTTTTATTACTTCTTTGTGAATTTCACATCATGTACATTCATCTTACTGTCCCCTCATCCCTTTCTCTTTGCAACCTTCCCTTACAAAAGAAACAAAAAACCCAATAATTAAATAAGGCATAGAAAACATCTAATTATGGAAGATGTAGTGTGTTACAATGTGTCCCACAGTGCACCTCTCTATCCACCCATCTTCACTTACAAATGTTAAGAACAATTTATTTTTTTATTGGATATTTTTATTCTTTTTTTTACTTTCAACTTATAAAAATTGCCTCAAGGTACTGTTCAAGAGCTCAAAAATATTTATTGATAAGACATTCTGAAGTACCTTCAGCTAGCCCTGTACGGTTTAAGCATCTGTTATTGCAGATATAATAGATAACTTTTCAGCTCCTTCAGCTCTAGGCCATCTGGGACAACAGGGTAAAGGGAGAGTATGAGTCACCAAAAATAGTGAACTTTCAACTAAAGGGCAAAAGGAGATAACAACCATATCATCAGAAGTTAAGTCTGTCCACCTAGGGCCAAGTTAAGGCCCTATGCAATAACAGAGAAGTTACTTTACTAAGGACTCAAGTTTATGCCTTAATCTTCAGACCATAATAGATTGATTCATCCATCTGATGAAGAAACTACATTTAATTTTTCCTTTGGATTTGAATTACTTCCTTTTTCATGAGACATCATAACATCTGTATTCCTATTGGAGATAAATATGTACTTACTTTCTACAAAATAATAGAACTATAATCACATATTTCTCTTTTCAAACTATTCTCTAGATTTTTCTGATCAATATAATAATGTATCTAATAGTAATGGGCATAGTTTGGATCTCTGTTTTTGGTTGCAGTGTATAATAACAGATAACGCTTTTACTAGTCTAATATTTTTCATTGCGTTTATAATTTGATTGCTTATATGATGCATGTATCAAATGATAATTAAATTTGCTTTTGTAACATCTAATCAAAACCACTTTGGACAATCTGTAATTATAAAATAGAAAAAAATAACTGTGGTAATTTCAGAACATGGTCAAGGGGGAAGGCATCAGAACATGATTGAGGGGGAATGTTGGAACATGGTTGGGGGGATGTCAGAATGTAATTAAGGGGGAGGAATGTCAGAACTTGGGTAATGGGGCAAATGTTAGAACATCTGTAAGGTGGGGAATGTCGGAATGTGATTAAGGGGGGTGGAATGTCAGAATGTGGTTCATCAATGGAGTCCTGTGAAGAGAAATCGGAGTGCTTATAAAAAAGACTCCAAGAAACAAGACAAGAATATTGTGACTTCAGTTTCTTCAAAACACAGCATTGTTCTTGGAATGTGTTTATATTTCTCCTAGGTATAGCATATAGAAGTGAATTTCTTCAAATTACTTACTATTATCTGCTGTTGTTATTGAATTAAATGTTTAATTGCCTACAGTGTAATTTTTTGGCATCTATGACTTGTCCTTGTAATTGTATATAGTTTGAACTCATGACAATTTTCCTCATGAGACATTTTTTAACCCTCAGAGTATAAATTGTTTAAGGCACTGTAAACTTAGCTATTACATTAGACTTTAGCCTGACTCATTTATCAATTCCATTCTCGAAGGCCCCAACTCCTACAGTGCATTGGCCATATAAAACTAATAGAATTATTTACAGTAGGACCTCTGATATTATATATTTTCTATCAAAACAACAAATTTACACTCAGGTGGCTTAAAGATGTTTACAATACTACTTAGAAACAGTCAAAGTGATTTTTTTAAATAGTTGTTCATACCGTCATAAATCCATCCAGCAAACCTGAGTCAGGTTTTGGAGGCGCCTGTAACCGTTCCATAGACCACTTCTCAATGATGGAGGAGACTTGGGTATTCTCTGTATTTAGTATTCTGAACCCTGTCATATTTACACCACTGTATCTGTAGGGCTCCACATCAAGAGCAAAGAGGTCCTGAAACAAAAATTTTCTTGTGTCACCAAAAGTTGATTTTATCAACAAGCTTACTATGCTAAACTTTTTCACTTCTTATATTCATTAGAATATTTCCACCGCTGTATCTCAAGATATGCAATGCATTAGAAATCAATTAGATCCAAATCAACTGTCCTTAAGTTTATACAGAGCAAATGTGTTTTCTTTGCACATGAACACAAGTGTATTGATTACATTATAATTTAAGCAACAGAATAATAGGCCTTTCTGTAATATATGTTTACTATTTCTGTAATCTTCCTTTTGCTAAGGATTGCTTGACTTTATACTTCATGCAATAGTATTTTCTTGGCCCTACTTCTTGGCTACTTAGCTACATTTTACTTTTGTTTTTTCTAGTTTTCTTTTGTTTTTCTTTTTGCTTTTACTTGGAGAAGCCAGTTATGAAGTAAGGCTGTAATTAAAAATAACTATATGAAAGGTTAAAAAAATCATTAACATTACTGATTTTGTTGCTTGTAGGAAATTTACACATTGTTTATTTTACATGACCCATTTGGAGTTTCACCATAATGAATATTGTTTCTATGATCCTCTCAAATCTGTACATCATGAAAATCTTTATTCTTTACGATAATTTTCCTGGGAGACACAAGGCCAAAACTATAAGAGAAGTTAAATGTCACTTTCTAACACTTCTTTCAGCTTTTCCTGGAAAGTCAAAGATCTAAGGTACCTGAATTTCACAAATCCTGTGTACATTTTGCTTGCTACCCATACTTCTATACCTTCCAGGGAGCAGGCATAAAATCCAGTGGAAAGAAGCTGGCATTGTTCTGAGTTGTATTCTGCACCGCAGAGTAATCTTTATACTTTTAGTCTCTTATATGATATAACAAAGAAGTGATAAGATAAAAATAATTAATATATGGGAATATATACCAAAAGAAAATAGTCAAAATGATAAGCAAAATTGAAGTTAAAAAGAAACAAGCCACTTGGCAATTTTTATGATGAATGATATTTCATACAGTAAATGGGATCTGAGTTGTAATGTGAATCAAACCACTGTACAGAAAATTTAGAGGTTTAGTATACTCAATATTTTAAGATGAAAAAAGCAAATAGTGTAAAAGAAAGTTACCCTCTGACTTTGTCTCAACTTTCTCTCCTAGAGTGGGCTATAAAAGAATTTCTTTGGTCTACGTCCTTTAAAAAGTGCTTCTAAGAGTCTTTTTTTTCTCTGTCATACACTATCTCACTGCTGGTACAGCAATTCCAGACAGTGAACAGTGCTGAATGTGGAAACTCCTGGCTACTCAAGGGACTTAGCATAAATGATTGCTGAGTGTTTGGTGCTAAGCAGGACATTTATACCACCACTTCTAAGTCTCAGGAAACATAAAGGAAGAGATAGCTAAAAGAACAGAGTATGAAGGATTGTTAAAACGTTCACTTCAAGGCATGGCATAGTCATTGGAAACACATCACTGCAACTGTAGCTGTTTACACTAGGCCTGTGTAAGACTAGACCTGTCAACAGCCAATCATGAACAAGGAACTGAGCCTACTGTTGATCCATTGGCTATTGATGGATTTTAAGGGATTGCTTTAGTTGTGTACCAAACACTGAGCTGGCCAAGTTCCAGTGGGAGTTGAAAAATCACTGGCATTCAAATGGTCCTAACTAAAATTCACAGGCCACAAAACAAAATAGAAAGACATGACTAGAAAAAAAGACCTGTATACAAGGTGACAGGGCATTATAGTGGTAGGAAAAAGATAAGGTGGTGGTAAGAAGAAACAGAATGCATGATAAATGCTTGTGAAACTATCAAAGAAGGAATCTAATCAGTAACAAAAATGTGGAGAGATGACTTTCCCTCTAGAAGATTGCTGTCCAATATTTAAACGTTCCTATGATTAAGAAGTATGAAAATAAAGAGATGTTGCTAAATTTTATCTAATTTACTATTGCTAGATTATCCCACATTTTTCTTAATCATATTTACAAACAGCTATCTATTCTTCAGCAAACCACAGCATGAAAAGAGCCCCCTCTTCCTATAACCACCATGTCAGCGACAACGTACATGCAATCAATGTATATACTTTTGCTTGGTTATCCTATCTTTTTTTCTTAAATGTGTCTCTATCATGTTCTTTGTAAAATAAAGTTGTCCATTTATACACTTTCCTTTTAAAAATAACTAAGATATTCAAAAATACGAAGGAAATTCAAAATTTGAGTAGAAGTACAAGAGAGAAGATATAAAACATGATCCTTTGCTAGAGACTATCTGAAATCATTTTTATTGCAAAACAGAACCCATAAAGTAGAATCAGACCAGAGAAAATGGGGAAGTTGGGTTAAAATTAAAAGTAGAGAAGTATTATGTGTTATATCTATCCTAAAATAATTGTTTTATTCTTTTCATAAGTATGTGTTTCCCCAAAAATTTACCATTGTGTTGAATCAAATTGCAATAGAATTATGTAGAACTGTATGATAAGGTGATATAACCTCTCCATCTTCTCCTTCCTACTACCAAGTTTCTTCTAAAATGTAAAATTTGTCAAGGAAGATGTGATATAGTGACATAGTAGAGCCAGTCTTGGTGTTTGTATGCAACATAATACCTGCTGGGTCAAGAATCCTACCTGGAGGAATCATTGTCCTCAGAGAAATATATGAGGAACAACTGGATTTTAGTAATAACTCTCAAAGAAAGGAAAGAAAGTTCAACATTTTAAACAATGAGCAAGAACACTGACTGAACTGTTCTTCAAAATAGAAAGCAATACTGCTGTAGAACTGCAGAGTAAAAACAAGTAGAATTTTTTGGATTATCTAGTAATTATTATTACTATGCCTAAAGTTTTGAATGAAATCAAATAGTAGCTGGCTTGGAAAATAATACATTAATTTATAAATGTTTTGAATTTATATTAACAACACAATATTTAGAATTGAATTATAACAACCATGAATATTATACATATGTATTTTGACATTATTTTTAAGAAAAGTTGATAATTGATCATTAAAATTATGACAATCTAAAGGCAGAAGGAAAATGGCATAGATGCTGAAAGTTGAAAATGGGAAAGAAAGGATTAGTGAAAAAGATGGAACTATACTTCACAAGATAAATTAGACTTGTTAACTGTATGGATAAAGAAATATAAGTTTAAGCATGGCCACATTTTACACATTAGCACTCATGAGATACAGGTATGATTGCAAGTTTGAAACCATTCTTGGCTACATCTCAATAGAGCAAAAGGGGAAAAGAAGGTAAGGAGGGAGAGAGAGAGAGAGAGTGTTGGAGGAGGAGAGGAACAAAGTAGGGAGGGAGGGAAAAGAAGGGGGTCAGGTAAACACCACTCATATAAAAGTAAAGACAGATTTTCATGTATAATATAGAAAATATAAATATTTAAAGACAACAATAAAGGTAACATGCAATTTGCTAATTGCGATTAATAGCATGTTAACTTAAAACCACTAAGATGTGTATGACTTAAGCATAGTAGGGAAATGCCAGGGTGGGGAGACATGAATGGGTGGGTGGGTGGGTGAGCACCCTCATAGAAGCAGGGGTAGGGGAATGGGATAGGCTGTTTTCAGAGGGGACACCAGGAAAGGGGATAACATTTGAAATCTAAATAAAGAAAATATCTAATAAAAATTTTTAAAAAGAAAATATTTAATCAACTAAAAATACAATTTGAAAAGCCTGATTTTCAAAAACACAAACATAAAATTAGTCAATAAACAACAATAAACATAACAAAAACAAACAAAAAAGAGCAGAGATAATAGCATAAGTCATTGTGGTTGCCTAATACAATGAATTTTTAGCAAGGTTCTTATCAAAAATTCAAATGTGTTATTCTCTGAAAGTTTCTGAGGTCACATAAAACAGACATACAATATTTTAAACTGACATTTGAAATGATATTATTTCAAAATCATCAGATCCCTCCCAAGAGTTATTAGTTTTGTCTCATAATGTCTTCCAGGAAGGAGCAAAATAAGATAAAGCACAAAGTAGAAATGTATTACTCATTATATTACTTCTCATTCAAAAACACATTTCCACCCTGTTTTAGAGTTGTGTTAATAAAATTTGCAGTATCATTTTTATGTTTAATAAGTTACTTACCAGAGTCGTAAATATATAGTGATAGTATTCTGTCATCATTCCCATAGCTAATGCCTAAGAGGTAAAGAATTAAATAAAAAGATTAATATTAAAGATGTACATAATGTGAAATAGATTATTTTAGTATGACATGTAATGATAAAAAAGTAAAATTTGATGAACAATTAACCTCAATTATTCCTGGTACATAAAGTTAAACCACACTAAGCTTTACACATTAGTAAGAAAACAGTAATTGTTATTAGGGAAATTGTGAACTAATCTTTCTGACGTCAAAGTTATTCCTTGAATGTTTGCAATTGTAAGGCTTTTAGCATTACATTTTAATGGCACTAAAATTGAAACCAAAATGTTTGTTCCTTATATTTCTAATATACTCAATACAAATAACCTAGTGTGATGCATCCTTTTATTTGACTAGCTTTGTTGAGCCATTAGAAGAAAGAGGTGCAAAGAACAGTATAAAATAGCACTTTTTTCCCTACCACCTTAGACATGATGGGAACATTAAGGAAATGAAAATCATAACTTTAAAAGGAGTATCGGTAATTAGCAGAATATTTTAAGCTTTGTTCAAAGTTCGGATGAAAATTAGCTTGCTTTCCATTTTTAAAATGCTTATCAATTTTTGGCTGTCAATGATCTTAGATCAAGTTCTTTTTGTATTGAAATTTACAGTGATGAGAAATGTGCCTGTCATCTTCATCTCGCAAAAGTAAGAGAAATGAATAATAACTGACAAGGAGAACCAAAATTCCATGCAGTTATAAGCTGTAGGAAGAGCTCTTAGTTGAAAGTAATTGTTCTCATCTAAGAGTCTCCCCCACACTACTAACTATGCAAAATCATTTGCTAAGTAGCTTCTCAGTTAGAATTTGTGTGCAAAGAACAAGAAAGCTTAATAGACATAGGTAGGTATTTGCCAATTAAATGGAATAAAATTTATAATTTATAATGTGAATCACTCAGTGAAGAAAAATAGCCATTCAATTTGGACTTTTTCCTGTATATTTATCCATACCATTTTATAGAAGTATATATTGTATATTCTCAAAGATGTTTACTCTTTTATAAAAACTTAAGGATTCTAAAACAAATATTCCCTTTGACTTTATAAACTGTAACTCCTAGCGCAGTGGGACAGCATGTGAAACTGTGCTGGAGTGACAGGGATGAGAGCTGAGCGCACAGTAAGGAGCTAAGCCTGGGCTTGTTTCTGACGTGAGTGTTCTGGAGCAATGAGTTTCTTATTATTATCTTGAAGAGAACTCTATAGCAATAACTGCAGTAGTTTATACATTTATTTCACGTTTTCCCAAACTTTGATTTCGAAACAAAGAATCAACAATAAACTATATTATTTAAAAATGAGAAAAAATGTAAGCACTTATCTGGTCACCTCACAAAGCTAAATAAGAGTATTATTATCTCAAAAGACTATCTTAATACCCACTCACTCTGTATCTTATTTTAACTACATATCAATGTATCTTCCCACACTTCAAACTACACAAAAAAAGAAAATATCTGTATCTTCTTAGGTATGAATATTATTTGGGAAGTCTTAAAATACATTGTGACATACATTACGTTTTATGAAGACCAAAGGAATCTGCAGTATTAAGCTGGTTATTTTGTCATCTAGGTGTATAATTTGCAAGCAGTTTATTCTGCCAGTTAGATTTAGAAATGACATTGCTCATGTTTAACAAAAGTGAAGGAGTAAATATATAGTTACATTAATATTAATTTTATTTTATAACTTGCTGTTGTAGGTATATTTGCATCAGCTTTTACATTTTCTTTAAGATGAAGGTTTTTATTTTACATTCTCTGATCTAAACTTTGAAGTCCTTGATCATGGTATCCCTATAAGATAGGAAGTCCTCATGAGTATCTTTTACTCTTCAGCGTGTCTTGGCTCTGCCCTAGGGAATTCTCTGTCAGAAATCTGAATAGATGTGGAATTATCTCCTGCTAAGACATGGCCATCAGTTAAAGCACTTCAACTTGCCTTGGAGGAAACCTAATCAGCCCTGAGCTCCATTCACTTTTAAAGCTTTCAGACAAAAAGCCTCTTTCAAATTCTTTGTTCCTTGGTGTTTTATAAAACTGCAGTTAGGCTGAATAAATGTTCAAAAATTTTAAGAAAACAAGGTAAAGCAGAGGCCATCATTCTGTATTTTTTCCTAAGACTTGTTCTTTTTCTTAGATGAAGCACTCTTTCTGAAACCTCATCTACTCTTCTGTTCAGCTCTTAATGGTATATCTTTAGTAGTCCATAGCAACCAAAGTTGACAAATCTCAGAAACACACACGCACGCACACACACATACACGCACGCATGCATGCATGCACACATACACACATACACACTCACACACACACACATGCATGCATGCACACATGCATACACATGCACACATGCACACATGCACACATACACACACACACACACACACACACACACACACACACACACACTATCACATCAAACCACACCACACCAAATCACATCATATGTTAGTTGACTATACACAAACAATTTGGTGAAGGAAAGGGCTTATTTGACTTTTTCCTTAGAACAGTGGTTTTCAACCTGTGGTTCATAACCTTTTAGGGGGTGTCGAAAGACCTTTTCACAGGAGTCAGCTAAGACCATTAGAAACCACAGATATTTACATTCTGATTCATATCAGAAGCCAAATTACAGTTATGAAGTAGCAAAGAAAATAATTTTCTGGTTATGTGTCGCCACAACACGAGGAACTGTATAAAAGAACTGCACCATTAGGAAGGCTGAGAACCACTGCTTAGAGTCATATTTCATCACTGAGATGTAAGGGAAGGAACTGGAGGCAGGAATTGAAGCAAACACCATGAAGAAAGAGTGCTTCTTGTGGTCTCTATCTTAGGCCCAGGTAGATTTCTATTCAACCTAGGATCAACTGCCTAGGAATGGCACCACTTACAGTTGTCTAAGCTCTGATCCCCTCAATCAGAAATCAAGAACATGCCTCACAGGCCAGTCTGATCGAGACAATTCCCTGAGTATATTATTCCATAAGGAAACATTATTCCATAAGGAAAGGTATAAAATAATAGATACACTCAATAGAAGGCAGAATATACACTCTATTATTAGAGGTTTCCTCATTTTTCCAAACTGCAAGAAAAACCTGCTTGCCCAAGAACAAGTGCAAGTCTCATGAGTAAAGCAAAGGTTCTTTTCTTAATGTGATCAAGGGTTGATTGAAAATTATGTGAAAAATCTTCACTTAAGCTTTTAGTGTTTATTCCATCATTACATTCGTACTTAAACAAACAAAAATCAAGCATAATTCTTCAAGTATTGTATTGTCCACATATAAAGCTAGAGCAATGTCCAAATCAATGAAATATTTCAATGTAGTAAAACCAACACTTCTACTGGAATGATGGACAAACATGTGCTTAATAAACTAGCCATGTTATAGCAAGCATTTATTATTGGGAGTAATATTTAATGACATATAATTTGTCATCTCAATCTTCATAATGCTCCACTATAAATATTTTTTCCTATGATTAAAGACGTTAACACAATTTACAAATTTATCCAAACCACCATAATGTCAGCCCATTATTTTATAAGATTAAAAGACAGAAACATAAAGTTTTTATTCAAATCCACACTCTACTACTCAATAAGTGTAGAGCATTCTGCATTTATTCTCCAGTACTGGTCCCTCATTTATAAGAGACTACTAAATAATCCCTACACTCTAGATTGTAATTAGGACTATCTAGTGTTGGAATAATGTATTTTACTGACAAATCAATGGATTTTGTAATGCCCTTTATTAGGCAAGATTCTATTGTGCAATGAATATTGAAAACATCATTAATGGGCTACTGATTTTTCTTCTTCGTCTTTGTTAGTACATGCTGCTCAGGTTACCAAGTCTCTCTGAGATTAGACTGGGAGAGACCTTTTTCCTTTGGTTGTGGAGATAAGGAAAAGGGAACACATAAGTAAAGCATCACTTAGATACAGGCTGAATCTGTTCCATAGTATCTTTTTTATCCTACTGGCTCGATATGTTATTCGAGGACTCTTTTCCCTCATCTTAAATCCGTGTTAAAGACCTTCAATATTTACTTCTCCTAAAACAAATTTACTAAAAGCAATTGTCAGCATTTCTATCGTAAAATTTTATAAAGATGATCCCTTTGACTTTTTAATTAGGTAACGCTGAATTATTACCTTTCCAACTTAGTGTAAAACATTTTAGGAGGAAAGGAAGAATTTAAGCAATGTCAAGTTTACCTGCTTTAAAATGCCTGCTGCCATCTCATGGCTGCAATCGAAGATCACGTGGAACTCCTTGCCTCTTTTCATCTCTTTAAGCAAAGGCTTTGCATCTTTCGTGTCTGCTGGCAGCTGACGAATTTTAAGTCGAAGATTGTACCTTGATGGAGCTTTGATGAGTTCTTGCAAGCGAATGAGACCTTAAATTAAAGAGAAAGAAATAAAAGAGTGGAAGCAAACCAGAGTAGCTCATAGAATTGTGAAATGTAATTATGATGTGTGATTTTTCTTGGTGACAGGTAGGTACTTAGTGTCGTGGCACTAGCATTGAAATTCCTTTCTTTTTATCTATTTATTTTTAAACAGTGTTTTGCTAGGTCATATAGCATAGCCCAAAACTTACTATGTAGTACAAGCTGGCCATTAATTCCCAGTGATCCTCCTGCCTCAGCCTCATTAATTCTGTATAACACTGTGATATAAATATTAACACTACATATAACTTCAGATATTAATGAATGCAGCATTCTCCTAGACAAACATGGCTCAAAATGTACTGAATCACTGATCTATTTTAGTAGATCATAAATCATTTTAAAATCATATTGTAATTTATTGATTTAAATAATTTAGTACTAAAACACATTTAATATTTGATATACCAAAGCCTTCTCCTTAAAAAAATATTTCACGTGGTTAAAATATGTGATTGAAATTCTTTTTGGTATGTATCCAGTCAAGAAATTTCCTATCTCCTCCAATGTTTCATTCTTATATCTGTAAAAATACCCATATATTTCTTTCCCTGTGTTTCTACTTCCTAAGAAGGACCACTTTAATGAAAATCAGTACAATAGTAGGACAAGGAAATATGGGTAAATAACTAATGTGCCCAATTTTTCTCTCCCTTCTCTACATATTTGCATGTTATTATGATTATATTTGGTCACAGGGATGGAGACAAATTCCACAACTATAAATGTACTGTGTATTCAAGGAGTCTGCTAGATCATGAGACTAAAACTACAATTTGTTATTTTTAACCAATAATAAATATTTTAAATTGTTTTTGTCATCAATGAATTATGATCATATGACAATATGATAAATGATTTTGAAGATCTAAATAGTTACTAAAAATGTGAAGGGATAGTAAAGCAAACTGTTTTAAGAATTACACATTTAAATTGCTTGTACTTTTTTTTTTACACTTACTCTCTTCATACAATTACATAAATGCAATAAAATCAGATTTTATTTTACCATGGCAGGGTAAAAATAAGAAAGTTACTCAGCCTATTATTTTACAAGATGTTGTCATAATTAAATTTTGGGAGATTAATGTGTTAGCAAAAGAAAAAAGAGCTATCAAGTTACAGATTAACACTACAGTTTGTAATGAAAAAGCTCAACTGAGTTAGAAATAGACATTTTCACAAGAATAGTGCTTGCAGGGCTCATCCTAAATATAAAGCCTGCCAAGTATTTTCAAGTCTTTAAAGAGCTCATGTGGATAGTTCATTGAGCCATCAGGTACAATAAATGTTTACTTATTCTCTTCACACATATACATCCCTGCTGGCACTAATGGAACAGGCTTCAGTTTGCCAGCTTCCCTGAGGAATTGATATTGAAGAAGGAAAAAAAATAAATCACTGATGTTAGTTGGAGCTGCCATCTCCTATGTTGGAATCTGAGGGAAATGTTGTCTTCAATTATTCCTTTGACATGTGTTTTCTGCCTGAGTTCTGTATGGAAGATACTTTCATATATAAATATAATAATTGAAATAATCATTTTAATCATTTAGATGCATTTGATAGAGATGACATAGCATTTCTGTACCAATGTAGTTTCAATTTGCTTTTCACTTTGAAATACTTGAACAAAAATGGCTCACTATACCCTTAAGGAAGAAGGAATCTAGAGAAGAGTTCAAAAGTCAAGTGGAATTATGGTTTTATATCCTTGCTTTCCTTCTATTTCTATATCAGGTGGCTGGAGTGGTCCTCTTATCTATTCTAAGCCTTCAATTGCTATATCACATGATATAATTTCCTCATTGTTCCACATGTCTGCTCTGTTTCCTTCGCTTTTCTTTTCCCAGTATTTTAACAGGGAGTACTTTCTGAATTCTATTACTTAGACTATTGTGGATGAATGAAAAAATGTTAACAAAGTAGTTTTTAATTCATTCAAGGCTCTAAGTGAATGAATATTTTCCTACTTATTGTGTGTGAAATATTTGATAGCATTCCACTAATATACTTGATGGGCTGTATTTTTATTTCATTGTTTATTTATTTATTTATTTATTTATTTATTTGGGATTGTAATATAGTTATATTATATCCCCCCTATTTTCATCCATCCAAACCTTCTTATATACCTTGCCTTTCTTTCTTTCAAATTCAGACTCTTTTTTTATTATATGTTGTTTCATATATATAGGTGTACACATATGTGCAAATATATATATATATATATATATATATATGTGTGTGTGTGTGTGTGTGTGTGTGTGTTCATGTATGTATGTATAATTGCAGCCTAAACATGAGCTGAAGATTTACATGAGTAGGCATGCTAACTTTGGTAACTAATGAATCCAGAAAGTGGGAAAGGAATTCTCCAGAGAAGATTCCACCAATTATTTAATTTTTATTGTAGATATTCATTGTACATGTTACTGTGCTCCATAAGGACCATTCAAAAAAGTATACATTGTACCTTGAACTATCCCACCCCACTATCATGTCACTATACCTCTGAGGTAGGATTAAGATTCTCTCCAAAGGAAAATGAGATTAAAATCTCATAATTATAAAATCTATAATTATAAAATTAGCTATCTGTTTCCTTTGTGCATTGCTATTCATTACTCTACCTATCCCAAATATCCTTCCCTTTGCAATATATGACATGGGCCAGTTTTTTTCTTAAAAGATGATCTTCACAAACCTACCATATGCAAAAAACTGCTTACTTATAAGGAATCTATAATATCTATAAGATTTTTAAGATCATTTTTCTTTGCCTAAAAGAAAAATCTTTCAAAGCACTTGGTGCAGCTTATATATAGCCCTGCTTCATATTCACCTGGTGATAATGGAAAAGAAGCACTGTAACACATCTATTAGATTTAATAAGGGGCACAATCATTTCACCAAATATGTGCTTCATGCAAATAGTTTGTAAACAACGTTTCAGAAATACTGTTTACTTAACAAATCTGGCAACTAATTATTTAATAACAGAATAGAATTGTAACTCTTTAAAACAGACTTTTAATTAAATACTCCTTTCCCCCTAATGTAATTAGTTTATACTTGATAATAAAAAGAAACACTGCACAGATGGGTTTCTAAAATCTAACAAAAAGTGCTTACTGCAATTACTTCCTTATTTGGCAAATGAAGAACATCCTGTTACCTCTAATCTATTACTATGTACATACTGCTGTTTTGTTTTCTATTTAAATTTTTATACTTTCCTTTAAACAAACAGTGGGTAAGACCAAGGTTTTCTTTATCATTTAGGGACAAATGTCTGAACTGCTCTTTTCAGACATTGCCATCAATTTAGCTTTTAAGGAGAATCCAGAAGGAGCCATTTATACACACTCCAGTTGGCACCTTCCTCTACAGAGATCAATCACACCACAGCTCAGGTAGGCTCATGCTCCCCCAGCCCCAGGAAGGGAGTCCCCATCTCTCTCCTACACTTGGGAACTATTTCAGCAGCCAAGTGAATTAGAGTTTTGCCAGCTGGCTAAATACACAGACCTATTTATCACTTTGGTTAATGTGGTCTTTCTGCCTGTGAAGTAAGACTCCCACCAAATGGATTTTAGAATTATCATTGTAAAATATGAAATCTCTGGATTCAGTGTTTCATCATCACCCCTTTGTTTAAACTGAGGAAAAACATACATGAGGAGCCAAAACATATTATTTTGATGGATTATTTTTATTAGAAAATTTTAGGCTAAATAGTTGTTTCAAAACAAACTGAATAATCTATGTACATCTATTAAATGCCCTTTTAACATATGTTAAAATATTTAAATACACACACACACACACACACACACACACACATATGACCTTTCTCAATCAACAATTCTTTCCTTGGGTATGAAATATTTATATTCAATGCATACAATATAGAAAATAACTAACTAGTACACTTTCTATAAGTTTCTAACTTCCTAATGTAAAAGTCTTGCTAGGCTGTTTCTCCACACCACAGTCAATTAATTCCCCCTACATTGTTGGCTTTTGTGATTTTTGCTATTGGCTCCTGTGAGGTATTACCTAAGACTGCATAATGTCTTGTCTTAGAAAACATTTTACTCAAGTAGATTTCTTGGGCCAACAAGGGAGAGCATGATGATGTATTGGAGATGGAGTACTTTGAGACATTTTATATTAGCTCAGTCCATAGAGTGTCTGAAGACCATGTTAGTGCAATGAATTGTCATTCATGTCTACAGAGTCAAGGCCCAATTAAAAATATTTGGGGATTATATTTCTCAGCTTCTGTGGTTGGCAATACTACATAAACACTTTTATAGACAATTGTTTAGAAAAATGAACTTTATCCATAAACACTGTGTGAGAGGAAATAGGGAGCTTGAGATTTGTCCTTCCTTTAGATTTGGCCATAGGTGTCTCTGGTATGGGCTAATATTAATCTGAATGTATTATTTGTCATGAATTGTGAGAGTGAGTTTCAGGTAACTTGTGAATAATGCCATATTTGAGAATCACCTTCACCACAGTAGAAATTACAAGTTGTGACATAAATTAGAGTCATCATGAAGACCCCTGAACATTAAATATGTTGAAAATGCAAGGGTTAGACAGGAGGCTATTGAATTCCAGAACAATGGTATGTCTCACACTGATATCTGCTAGATAAATGCACACTTCTACTGCCTGCTCCTTTCTCATTTGTTTCCACCTAGGATATTGAAAAATATAACCTCTATATCTACAAGTAAAAATCTATGGTGTTTTCTCTGATTGCTCTATTTCTGATACATCGTATCTTTCTAGAAAATCCTTTCACAGTTATTTAAAATACATCTAGAAAATAACTGACCCTGGTATTCTTGAGACACACATTACATTTCACTTTGGCTATTTATTATGAAAGTTTTTAAAATAATGCTTGAACTTGTGCTTATCTAGTAATA